AAAATTTTTCTTCCCTTTTTAGTTCTCTAATAGGGTGAAATCTTGATTCACAAATGACCTGGCAGTCCCCCTTTGTGTGAATGCATCCACTGAAAAAAAAAGTATATATATATATATAATATATATATATATTATATATATATTATATTTAAAATATATATATAATATATATATATAATATATATATATATATATATATCTTCATGAATCATGCACAAAAGCTGTGTTTCTGGACAGCATCCATAGACCCCCACCGTGACTGGAGGTTAAACTCAAGTGCAGGCACAATTTGGAAGTCTTTTGACCATCTTCTTCAGCCCAGCTCTGGCCTCCTCTCTGAGTGTACACTCCCTCTTCATGGCGATTGCTTTTTCACTTTATAAATGAGGTATTGTCCCTCTTTTTACTTTCTCTTCCTTCCCAAACAGGACACATTGGTCATTTTAATTTACTGTTTGAAATGTTATCTCCACCATGCCTTTTCACTTAAAACCTTTGTGGTCTAGTTGTGACATGAACATCTTTCTCCTACTTAGCTTAAGAAATGTTAGGCAGCATTGAATGAGGCGTAAGGCAGGAGAGAAGGAGGATAGAACACGTACAAGCAGTTACTCAATAGACTCAGAGTGGCAGCTGATGGAATCCGCGACCATAAACCAAATGCAGAGCCCATGTGGGAAGATGTGAATATTGGCAGCTGGCTCAAGCCGCCTTCGTACCAACTTCTCCTTCTTTATTTTTTTTTTTCTGCCAACTCTGGCCACACATTCGACCTCGAGGGATGCATTCTTTTTTCCTGCCTACAGCGTGGAAAAATGTCTTCTTGTCAGAGTTTTGTTGAAATAAAATTGGCTTTTGGAAGCGGCAGCATTTACTAGGAAGCCTAGGAGGGCTGAGACTTGTAAAGGGAGCAAGTTTATGCGGTTTGGGTTTGCGATCTGGTAAAATAGTGGGAACTGAGGAAGTGTCGTCGTTTTGGGGGTCTTTTGGCAGCACCGCTGAGGCTTCAGGGAATGTTAATGCCTCAGTTTCAGGGTACCGTTTCTCAGAGTGGTCTCACAGGCCACTTACACCAGATTCTGCCCAGAGTGCTCCTGAAAGCATCCCAGAGTGACTAAATTAGAATGCCTAGGAATTAGACTAGAGAGCTGTGTTTTAACAAATTCTCCATGAATCTCCTGCTTTGAAATGAGAAGAGGAACAAGATTCAAGGTTCTGGGCTCAGTTTTCCAGCTGCCCAGGTCATTTATGTGTGTGCATAACCAGAGGCGCTTAGGGTGAGGTGACTGACTCATCCTAATCAGACACATGAGAAACCGAGGCATAAACCTGGAAGCCAGTTGGAACTTTGCCCTCTGTAACAGGAATCCTACGGCAGCAGAGGAGAGAACTTCCTGGTTCTCAAAGCTCAGTATGGTGTTTCGTGACTCTTGCTCAATCTTTATATGTTATCCTTTCATGTTTAATCCATTTTCCTTTTCCAAGAGAAGTATTAACGATTAAGATTTGTCTGTTACAATTCTCAAAACAAGACATTTATGCAGCCAACAAACATTTTAAAAACCCCATTACTTGTCATTAGAGAAACGCAAATCAAAACCACAATTAGATACCATCTCACACCAGTTAGAAAGGCAATCATTAAAAAGTCAGGAAACAAAAGATGCTGGAGAGGATGTGGAGAAATAAGAATACTTTTATGCCGTTGATGGGAATGTAAATTAGTTCAGCCATTGTGAAAGACAGTGTGGCAATTCCTCAAGGACCCAGAACTAGAAATACCATTTGATCCAGCAATCCCATTACTGGGTATTGGATTATATAAACTCAAAGGATTATAAATAATTCTGTTATAAAGATACATGCATACGTATGTTTATTTTGACACTGTTTACAATAGCAAAGACTTGGCACCAACCCAGATGCCCATCAACGATAGACTGGATAAGGAAAATGTGGCACATATACACCATGCTTTGCAGCCATAAAAAGGGATGAGTTCATATCCTTTGCAAGGACATGGATGAAGCTGGAAACCGTCATTCTCAGCAAACTAACACAATAACAGAAAACCAAACACTGCATGTTGTCACTCATAAGTGGGTGTTGAACGATGAGAACACATGGACACAGGGAGGGGAACATCACACACTGGGGCCTGTCAGGAGGTAGGGGACTAGGGGAGGGATAACATTAGGAGAAACACTTAATGTAGATGATGGGGTGATGGATGCAGTCAACCACCATAGCATGTGTATACCTATGTAACAAACCTGCACATTCTGCACATATACCCCAGAACTTAAAGTTTAATAAAAAATGTATATATATTTAACGTAGGGATGTGTGTGTATGTGTGTGTGTGTGTGTGTGTGTGTGTATGGATGTGTCTGTTAAACAAGACTTGGCAATCAGCTTGCTCCAGAAAGATCTCCATACCCCTTGCCTATCCACCCCGATCCTCCTCTGGGACAGTTGTATCTTCTATGAACCTAGGTGGTTGCTCTTAATGCAACATTGTCATTTATTTGCTCATGAGTGTGTCTCTTCTAGTCGACACTGAATCTCATTGTCCCTATAATGTTGAGCTGTGCCTAGTGCTGAATCTAGAGTTAATGCTTCAGAAATGATTATGAAATGAACGGGCGAGCTGAAAGATCTCGTGAGGCCTCTAATGCACATTCTCCTCTGTTTTTGTGGCCTCTGCCATGAGGAATGACTGGATGCTTTTGTGTAAAATTAAAGATGTTTGTATTAGATTTGACGCCCTGTGATCCTTACAAAAATGTGTTTTGAGAACAAAATAAATAGGATTGGGAGAAAATTAAGATGCTTTGAGGATCTACATACTTGTAAAGTACATTTTATTTGAAAGCGACGAAATGCTTTAAAAAACTCCAAGTAAATTTAAGAGGAGATCTACTGGATTTTGGCTAAGTGCTGAAAAAATAAAGTTTCCTTAATTCCCTATCCAAATACTTCAACTTAAATTTACTGGTAGCTGTTTCAGAGGAAGATGGGGATGCTGCAGTCCTTAGTTTGTTATAAAGAAAATGTTTTTATCTTCAAATGTTTAGAGGAAGGATTAAAGGCAATTTATGGCTTGGGTGAAAGTAATAGAATAATGAAGTATCTTCTAAGTTGTCCTTGTTTTCTGGAATTACTAACAATATCAACCCAGGAGGTATTTTATGTCTGAAAGGAATTACTTTGATTTGTCGTGCTTTAATGTAAACTATACCATCCGTCTTATAGCTGTAATACTGAGTTGTTTGTTTCATTTTGTTGTTTAAAAAGAGGAAAAAAGAGGAATTGATTCAGTTGTAAAGGAGATGAATTCTGTCATTAGATCTTTTGCTTCAGGGATCAAGAAATATATTTATAATTCACTTCTTTCAGGAAATTAGGCCGGTAAGGTCTTTATGAAATGCATTTTATTAAGATCAAGCCATAGCCTATTTAGTTTCTCCAGAAATAATTCGTTTTTAATTCCCAAGGAAAAACTACAATAATAAAAAACAAATTTTTATTTTTGTTGTCATAGCTCCCCATTTTATTAAAAAAAAAAACACCAGTTTACAGATTTGTTACTATTTGTTTAATTAAAATAATGACTTTTTGTAGGCTTTTATAATGTATAAAGAACTTTTTAGATAACATTTTACTCAGTCTTTGCAACTTTTACTCAGTCTTTGCAGCGATAATGATGATAATTTAATATATAATGGAGCCTTTCATTCTTTGAGGAAATACTGAAGTTCAGGGGTACAAGAGCATTACCAATGTCAAATAGCAGAGCCAGAACTTAATACAGGACTTCTCTCCAAATAGCACCTTGGTTGTTTTTT